CAAACTTGACCATTCTCTTCTAACAAGCTCTTTCTTCAAACTGCAATTACAAAAGCTCCAGACCAGAGTTAATAATACAATTAAGCAAAAATTTAAAATAGGAAAAATGATCTTAGACAAGATCACTTACTTGCAAGCTGGACTTAACCGAATAAATCTAACAGACAATCAAGACCTGACATGAATAAAACTTCTCAATGTCAAACTCACCAATACAAAAACTCAAAAAGCTATGTCACTCAAAATAAATTCTTTACAAGCCAGCCTTGCCATTTGGTTCTGTTTAATTTGTCATCTGAAGAAATTTTCAAAAACATGGATTATACAAGTAGCAGCAGTATCAAAAATGTACAAAATTAATATTTGTCATATCTCTTGTCAATACAATCATCCTAAAGGAAAACAATCATTAGAATTTCATTTTTCATTTAATAACAAGTATTTAAAGCATTAGGCATTAGGACTAAGTAGAGAAAACATCAAATTTTTAGAAGATCTTCTTATTTTTCAATCAAATAAAAAGCTAACTTGGTATAAGTTTAATATATATTTTTGCTCCATATCAAAAGATCCTATATCCACTTGATTTATCAAAATTAATATCACATCCACTCATAAAGGAACTTCAACTTGCATCTCAAACATGAGAGCCAGATTCTGAACTTTTACTAACAACAATGAGCTAAGCTTCATCAAAATAAGAATTAATTATAACCATATTCATCCTTAAATAAAAGGAACTCATTACAAATTAATAACAAATAAGACTCTCAAAAAATGCTAATATCATGCCAATAGCTTTCAAATAACCATCCCAACTGTTAAAGCAATGTCTCTCTGGACGTATAAGACAAATAATGAACATTGTCTGGCCAATGCACTAGAGGAAATCTGACTTCAGCTTCAGTACAATACCACTCTAGACAATAATTCAAGAGTAGAAATTAGTTTTTACAAATACAGAGACCTATCAATTCAGATCAATACTAATACTATAGAAGACCTTAAACAAGTTATCAACTTTAGTAGATTATTTTTATATTTCAATATCAAAAGCAAAGATAAACTATTAACAGTATACAAACACAATATCAATATAGCTCTTTACTCAAAAAATCCATAGCCAATCAATTTTTTCTTAGAACTGATTAGTTTAGTGGAGGCTGTTAATAATCAGACATATATAACAATCAATCTTTCAAAAAAGCTAAATTTATATATTCCAAGTTACTTCAATCAAAGAGTCAAATTCTTATATAGTTTCCTAAAAGAAAGAATTAATAGTATGTATGAATACAAAAACATCAAATTAAGATTAGAGTCAAGCCCAATCATTTCAGGCTATTAAGACAGCAACATAATTATAGGGATCAATAACATATTAAAGCCAGAAAGCTATATCTCAAGTCCAAAAATCAAAAACAATTGGAGCTATAGTCCAGTTGTTTGAACTAAAAAATTCAGCAAATATTTAGACTTACTAATATTATCCAGAGCTTGTCAGTTAAAAACAGGTGGAAAACTAACCTAAAGTATTGACACTTCAAACTCTAACCAAAACAAACAAGCTACTTATCAAGAAAGACAAAATAAATACCTTCTCTTTGCTAACCTTCAGACTATATATGTGGCGTAAATTATTTTGCTGTTGACTCAATTTACAAAAACCTCAAAAATAATTGTATTATAACTCAATTATTTATATATTTTAATAGTGACTCAATTAATTGCATCAAATAATTGCGTTAATTGCGTCAAGGATCTATGAATTTCAGCAACATGTATACTTTAGACTCAAGTTGCTAAGTGAAATATTGTCATCAAAACAGCTGTTACATGATTGCTATTTAAGTATCTATGCTAATAACCTCTGCTCCAAATTAGAGTTCTGAAAAGTATCGAACTGGTATCAAACTGATATTGAAATGGTATTGATTTATAGTAAATTTAATATATAGTTGTGATATACTCATATGTTTTTATAACAAATTTAAGTATTGAACTGGTATCAAAGTGATATCGAAGTGGTATTATTAGGAGCCTTACCTCAGATGTCTCATAGTAGTAGAAACTCAAAGTCACATTTTCGACTATTATAAAAATATTGCAACATATAACAAAATTGAAAACAAGTTAAGAACAAGTATAACAAAGCTTGCAAGAAGAAATGATGCTAAGAAGAACCTATCAGAAACTGAAAGCAAAGTGTAGAAACTAAACTTTGGCCAAAAATCTAACCTGGACAAACTGGTATATGGAATGTTATACATAGATATACAACTATCAGTCATCAGCCATACTAAAATAGCAAACAAAACATTAATTTTACTATACTCACAGATATGAATTCCAAGATCAGCAATAGTAAACATATCCATAGTAAAGGAAGTCAAATGGAAAAAATACTCTTTCACTGCTAAAAGTTCCAATAATGCTCATATATAAAAAACCATATCAGATAATGAAAGTTTATTAAAGTTAACAATGGAAGTCACAGACTTATAAGCAAATCACAACAATAGCTCTATTAAATTATAAGTCTTTATCTCAGCTCTGAAGGGTATTAACTATTCAGCACTATAACTAATCTAAAGTATATTAAGTGTAACTAGGATAGGGATAGTTAGTATTATAAATAGATTAATATTAATTTATAAATCTGACTTTGTAAAGATGTTTAATATAATCTGGATATGTTATAAAGTTTTGTATCTGATGCCTTCTTATGATGTAAATATATATATATATATATATATATACAGTATATTTAAAATCTAAAATATTTAAATTAGTAATATTTGAAATTTAATTTCTAAAATTTTATATTTTTAAATTATTTTAAAGCTTTTTTGTTTTAAGTAACTTATAGTAAAACTTAATTTTTGTATATTTTTATTAAATACTTGAAAAAAAATAAATCAATTTAATATTTTATAAAATACTTGAAGCCAATTAAAATATTTTTGAAATCTTATATATATTATACTTTCTTTAAAAAATTCAAATTATATATTTTAATATAAAAAATATTAAAAATTTTTGATAATATTCAAATTTAAAAAAAATTTGTAAAATAAAAAAGTAATAAATGTAATTATAAGATTTATAAAAAACTCAGTAAATAAAAAAATAAAATAAAAATTATAACAAATAATTTGATTAGACCTGTGGGTCTGTAGTATAGTAGTCAATACTTCACAAGTCAAATTACAAGATACCAGTTCAACCCCATATGAGAGTATTTGAATAAGAATTAATATGGTATCTGGTGCCATAACCTGTTAAGCACTGTTTTTCATAAAAAGCCGTTTCATACGCTGATCCAGTGGGCGTTGGGATTGTGATTTCCAGAAAAAAATGTTGTGGTGCGATGATCATCTGGTTGATATTATGATGATCATTGTCAAGTTTAGTGCAATTCCCAGTTTCATAAAATAGGCCATTTCCCTTTCCTATAGTCCATGAGACTATAAAAGAAATATAATATAGAGGGCTATAAACTGGAAACTTTTTAGCAAAACTTTCTAACATAATCCCTTCTTTCGCAAGAGTGACGACTCACCAGCAATACTTATCATTCTTACCTGTAGTGAAGGTACCTAGTTGGTAATGATTGCCAGAATGGAAGACTTCCCTTAAGACTTAGCTTGACTTTGGAGGAGTTGTATCCTCTTAAATAAGCAGCTTATACTTGAAGCCTGGTATTATCTAAAAAGAATTGGATCGTCAATCCTGGTTTAAAGGTATTGAAATAACTCCTGGATATAGGTTCCATCCGTTTTTCCAAATGGTAATCCTTCGAGGCCACATGTGCTAGAAAGAAAACTGGAAAAAGACAGAGACACAGTACTCCAATAGGTAATTTGTATAGTATTAAATAACTTTACTAAAAGGTTTACAAATTTGAGACTAGAAGATGTAAAAGAAAATCTTAGGTGGCAGGCTGCATCCAGATGGTTTATGCTTGTGGGTAGATTCTAGTATATATAGGCATTTAGGATAGATTAATTTTGTATATACATTGTATATAATGACCTATCTATTAATAAAAAATGCGGACTAGAATATAATTTCACTTTAGCAGTTAAAAAAAAAAAAACAAATAATTTGATTAAATATTTATATTTTTATATTTTAAAAAAATCCACTTTTAATAAATTTATTTAAGTTTTTAAAAAATATATTTTTTATAAAATATAATAATCAAATAATAAATAAAATATGTATTTATAAATTTTAATTTTTTGAAATTTAATAAATTTGTAATGTTAAATAAAATTTTATAACAAATTTTATAATAATTAATTATTTATTTTATTATAATTTTTTTAAATTATTATATTAAATCAATATAGTAAAATTAATTATATAACTAAAAAAATATATATTTTATATTAAACTTTGAGTTTTTAAAGATTTTAAAAATTTTATTTCAATTTTTTTAAAAATTTTTTCTATAGTTAAATTTTAATTTCCATCTATAATTTATATATAAATTTATATACAAAATTTATAATGGTTTTTTTTTAAAAAAATTTTTTTTGACTTTAAATTAATATTATTAAAATAAATTTATTAATTAAATATGTATTAATAAAACTTTAATATTTTATTAAATAGATTATAAAAAATATATATTTAAGGTGTTGTTTTGATTAAATTATTATTATTCAATTATAAATAAAAAAACTTGTGCAATTATTTTTGATCACTGCTATATATTATTAAGATTAATTAAACGTAAATTTATTTTTAAAATAGAAAAAATAAAATAAAAAATAAATCGTGTTTGAAATAAAATCACGTGAACTAGAGCCAGTAAAAAGTGGGCGGCATTTATATACGAGTCGACTTAACAATAAGCATGATCTCATCCAGTTTATCCATTTAAGGCGATAGCCAGATTTTCAACTGATAAACTATAAATAAGGCGTTTTTCGAATTAGATACTGTAGGACTCAAGCTTCTTGGTTTACTGTCGGAGAGTTTCTAACCAAATAATGGCTAACGTGAACAAATCAAATGTAATCACTTTGTTGAAAGAGGAAAATGTTTCAGCTCACGTTCGACATCGTAATTAATATCAGTTTCTCCTAGGACGAATTTTTGTTTAATCTTATGTTGAGAAAATTCCCTAATGAGTAAGTTACATACAAGTCCCTATTCTACTTCTTTGAATAAGTTTTCGTGAGTAACGAATTAAACCGCACTACAAAACGCAAAAGTCTCAACGACGAACTAACCGTAGAACCTCCGCAAGGTAAGCTAAATGTCTATACCAGCCTGGATTTTGCCCAAGAGCGAAAAACCAAATACACGAAATTTCACGAATACCAAATGTCGGAGTTATTGCGACTCGAAACGGAAGAACGTAAGAAGCATCGATTGGAGTTTTCGAAATTTGTTAGGGGAAAATACGGAGATTTGATAAGGGACGGGAAATTTTCGACGCAATCGGTGGAATTATATAGCTCGGTGGTAAATGTGTTGAAAAAAGATAAGAATGAACTTACGTCATCTAATGCAGAAGGTAGTAGTAATTCCAGCATGGAGGAAGGAGAGATAGGTGATGAACGTGCGGAATTGATGGTAGAAGGATCGAGTATTTTGTATGATGATTTATATGTAAGTTTACTTTTCATCATATTCGAATGATGTCTTGCTCCTTTGTTGTAATTAATATCGTTAATTAATATCACTAATTAATATCGCTAGAAAAAGTTTCAAGAAGAGCACGAGAAGATGAAAGAAATATATCAAGCAAGAAGGCAATGTCTGATAAAAATCCAAGAAAATATTATGAACAATATACAGAAGTTAATTAAAGATCCTTCGGGAAGTACATATGACAAACAGAATACTGGCTCCCGATTTGACATAACGAGATCGGTACAACAGCAAGACCTACTTGCAATCAAGGAGATGGTGCCAAGTATCCCTTCTTCATCTAGCGCAAATAATATGAATAATTGTGAACCCACCTATCATTCGACCACACCAACATCTTCGCCTCCAAAAAGTTATCAAAGTTTGCCTGCCAATCTTTGGAAATCACAATCATACCCTCCATTTGAAAAGAGTAATACCTTCAATAGTAAAAAAACGCCAAGTACATTTGATTCTTTGGGACCCGAAAGGCATGGTAGTGATAGAAAAATTGTCGATTATAATGGAGATCTTTCAGGAAATAGTGTGTATGGGCCGGATACGCATGGGGAGAGTAGGATAGGCAAGAATTATTACTCACGCGATACAGACAGATATAGTGATAGTCGGATGGAAAAGACTTATAATGACGAACGTCCTCATAATTATCCATATGGTGACGAAAGATTTATTGACAGAGACTATGAGGAGTACATCCCTTCAAGAAGTTATAGAGACAACTCCGAGATAATTGAAAGTCGTCGCCCATCGCTTCCACACGATGCTAGACGTTTAGGTAATAACGTGGGCTATCGTCATCATCATTATCCAAGAGGCGTTACCAATTTTAGGCCATTTAGATATGTTTCAAGAAGAAATATCAGAGGTAGACCATTCAAGAAGTTTAGAGCCAGAGGCATACAATATAACGCTCAACGAGGTAGATACCCTGAAAGTATGCACCCAGACGTACCGGAAACATGAAGCAATTGAATTAAGTTGATCGATAAGACCACGAAAATTGTAAATTCTCTTTCTGAGATGATGTTTTAAGATTTGTTTTTCTTCTTTCTTCTTTTTCCTTTAGAGCAGAAAGTAATACATCCGCTTTTAGTTTATAAGCTCATCCTAGTCTAAGGGATGTTAAATTTATTTTGGCTTAAGCAAAGAGTACATGATAACTTTGTTGTCTAAGCACGATTTCTTTGATCTAAAAATACTATTTTATTGAAAACATTTTCGCAACTGGAATACAATTTTGGTAAAACACTGGTGCTTTTATTAACTCCATTCTTACATTAAGATTCTTATAATAAAAGAACATTGTTAACTATTTATCATATGCAACGTCATTTTCTCAAAAAAAACTAGAAATTTTTTAATCTATCAATAAACATTTATGTTAATAATTTTGATGGATAGAATAAATTGTTTGTGATTATTTATTTTACCTTATATTACATGTATATGTATATACAGTATATATTATTGAAATTTATTTTTCTTTAAAAAAATTTCAGATAAAATTTAAATTATACAAACTAATTAAATTGGACCGTATAATTATCCATCGATTTGGGTGTGATCGATGTACTTGGTGTAGTCAACAGTATATGTTTAAAAGTTAATAAAATGAATTAACGGGCGTCATCTTGGGCAGGTTGACGATAATTGAATAATGACGGTAAATTATTATTACTTTATTAAATACGCATTATCGAGTTGTCCATTTTTAAAATAGTATTTTTTGATGGAACCGAATGAATCTTCAGAATTAGCAGTGCAAATTAATAGTCAATTATTCATAACGTAATAATAATTAAGGAGAATATTCTAGCTGGCCGATAGATCATACGCAAAGAAACAAGAAATAATGATTCGTGATAACGAATTCCTTACAAGTACGAGTGTCTGTTTCGCTTTCGACAAATCAATCAATTTTCCGTATCGATACAGGATCCGACTATCTAAATATATATAAAACAAAATGTGATCTACGTGCATGTAAATAAATCGTCTGTAAAGTTCGCTTAAGAAGAAATTTTCGTTTCTTCCTATCGGTATACAATCATCACCAACCACTTTGTTAAAATATACAGTGGCTGAGTTTGCGTAATACTATTTACGTATTGTCGTATGTGTCGTATGTGCAACCGAAATTACCTGGTAAGGTAAAACGATTAATTAATATTAACAGTCAAATTCGATTTTTGCACATTAACAAAGTTTTCAACCAATTGAACCAATTTTTTTTTTAAACTAGGTTTTATTTCTTATTTTTTTCCTTAAATTTCTTAATGCAACTGATCATGTTGCATACAAACATAATCCTGTAAAAATATAGAACGTGATAATTTGATATAAATAATAAAATGATAACAATAATAATAATAATAAATAAAATAATAATATACATTATGCATGTGAAAAAAAATTACTAGAGGCATAGGTGTAGGATCTTATATAACCATATATATTTCGTTTTTGTACATATCTGTAATATCTATAAGGGCATATATTAAGTTGTTTTCCAGTTTACGTGACAAAGTCCCCCAAAGTTTGTTATATCGTCTTAGACTAGGTGGATAGTGAAAAAGGAAACGCTCATGGCATCATTGAAAGTATGGTAAGGATGAGAACTGTGGCGACTTAAATCTTTGTGCCAATTGGTCATCAGCTGATGATAAGCTATCACGGAACCTTTTCGATCGGTCGGTTCTGGCATGCTTCCGAGCGCAAATCCAGACCGCTTATTTACTAAGAGATTTATTAGTGATCCATTATCGTTTCTCTCGGAAGTTGGGATATCATTAGACGATGATGACGGGTATATAGAATTGCTAGTTTGGGCGTTATCGTTATTATCTAAGATATGAGATGTGACGGCATCCAATTCGACGAACATCGGATCAATTAATGGTGATTGCCAAAAAGGCGTTTCCCAATTGTTTCCAAGAGCAAGTTGGGGTTGCGTAGAATACGAAGAGGAATCACGCGATACCACATGATCTTGAGATGACTCTAAACCAGCTCCCGGTAAGACAAGCTGTGAAACTGATGGTTGTTGTTCCTGTTGTTCTTGTAGCTTTTTCTTCTTCTGATACCGACGTCCTTGTTTTGACGGCCAAAGTTCTTTATATCTTTTCTTGGCAGCTTCGGCGAGACGCTTGTATTCTTTCTTAACATCTTCGGGTTCTTGTTTCCACGATTCGGAAACCATTGGGGAAATTTGTGTCATCTGAAGATTAATTCCTCTCATGTGAAGTTCCTTGACATACGCCTTACGATATATGATGAATGCGTTTGAAGATTTCGAAGGTTTTTCGCCGTTTGGCCGGGAGGGAACTAATTCATCAACATTGATCAGTGGGGGAAAGGTGGGCTTGACGAGCGTCAATTGTGGATCCTGAGGCAAAACTGGGGTATTCTCAACCGACGTGGACACATTACTAGAACTCGAGGAACTAGTTTCACCAAAAGCATCCTGACCCATAGTACATTCCATAGTGCACCCGTCATACAATCCCAAGGAGTCAACGAATTGATCAAAATAGTTGGAATGCATTTGTACTGGTTGAGAATGATTTTTCTTCGTCTTGACAGCGGCCATATTTATAGGAATTTGAGTGTATCACAATTTGTACGTACTCTCGAGTAGCCAATTTATGTGCTTCAAATAACGCGGAAAATAATTCCATTCGTTAAGTACCATTTTACTGTATATCGGATGGGTGACCGTCATGAGAATAATGTGCCACCTTTTTGCAAATGATCGTGATTTTACTATGCACTTTTTGAATCGGAGTTCATGGTTCAGTAAAAGTGTGTGACTGAGAATTGAAGTGTTTTTTAATTCTATTAGATAATAATAATTAGTTAATTCGGAAATGTTTTAATGGGTTGTGCCACAACTATTCGTTGGAAAACCTAAATTAGTCTTGTGTAAAATCTAACACTGGTGTTGTCGCCAAAGTAAGTTAACAATGAAGAGTCGCGTGTGTGATCTACGTTGATCCTCAAAGTTCAATAAATTTAGATTTATTCACGTGCGGCCTCGTGTAATGATTCACCCTCGCATTACAAGAAAAATGTCGAAAATTCTGTTACTTTTAATAAATCTCGGCGCAATTACAATATATGACTATGTATAGACATGACAAAAAAAGTTCTGCACGAACGTTGCTTGCGTGCTGATGGGACCAAATAAATGACCTAACTTGCGAATATTCCTACCTTCCGTTATTTTATATAATAATTACCTAATTTGTTGGTCCGGTCGTCATGCCTCGAAACCAGAAGACCCAATTTCATTCTAAAATATATCAATGTCAAATTAAAGAGTTCAAGAGAAACGCTATGCATGCACACTGAACAAGATTCTACAATAATGCATTTTTTTAAAAAACAGCTCATTGTTCGTCTTAAATAATTTTGCTTTGTCATGAAGTAATTTTATTGGCCGCTATTTCCAGAACCAAGTCACGCGAGGGTGAAACAATACGTATTATTTTGGAAACTAGTCTTATTGTTGCACTTGATCTAATTCAAATGTGGTGATGTGGTAATTAAGAGCTCATTGTACTCGGAATTGCTGGTGCTTGCTGTTACTAAAAAGTCAATGCTTCTGTGGCGAGTTATGATAATCTTCATTATTAAATTAAAATGTTTATTTTTGAAGATTACACAAACATGATCGGCCTTACAAACACAGTACAACATAATATTATCTCATTATAGCAAGCGTCTATTTAGTTATGTAACGTGGTGGTTTCTCGAAAAACGACCTTATTGAGGTAAAGGTCAGATGTTTCCGAAAAAATCTGCGGTCAGTGTTCTGCGTGAGGCGCAGTTCTGCCTGCTTGGAAAATCCGCAAGCGTGATCAGCTTGCGGTCAATTGCTTTCTAGAAACGAAAAAAAATAACCAATCTACGGTCATTCTGATTATAAAGTTCGCGAATGCATTATTATTCAATTGATTGGTTGAAAAATGAGAAACAGTGAGATATCCATTAAATGATTTAATTTGACAATTCACGTTTTCAATCAATTTTCGTGATGCACTCAAAGAATATGTAAATAGGTTTTATTCGAAAATAAAAATTTAAATTATCATTTTTTACCAAATCAATTATAATATTCAAAATCGTCATATTTTACATACCGTATATAATATTCATCACTTTATGTTCGTTTGATTTTTAATATGTAATATTAATTAATTTCGAATTACAAGAAACATTTTTTGCAAAAGCATATTACTGTACTTGTAAACATAGATACACGTACATGCTATAAAATACGGTATTACTGTAATCATAAAACCTTGAAAATTCGTAAATTTATTATCTAATTGATCAACAAAGAAGAATTAAAAAAAAACAACAAGTTATTTATATAACTAACATAAGTATCCTGTAAGAGCAAAAGAGCTTGTTTTTGATATTTTTTTAAAAAAATAATTTTCGCAAATATTATTTATCTGTTTTTTTTATAATTTTTTTATTAATTTATTAATAAAAAATAAAAAAGATTTTTAAAGTTATAGTTTACATTGTAAATTTTTATAAAAATTATAATATTTCTAGTATAACATACAGCATAGGACATTTGCTCTTGAAAAAATTAATTTTATTATTTTTATCTATAAGTCAAAGTCAAAGATTCATCAATTAATTATTATAACCTTTATATATCTTGTATTTTTTTATAAATATAATAAAGAAGTTTACTCAAGAAAATTTTTTAGATTTTAGTTATTATAATTTTATAATTTGAAATTAAGAAGATTTTATAAAAAATTGATTTTAAAAAAAATAAAAAAATTAAATATTAAAAAAATTTTATTTAGAAATAATATATTTTATAAAAATTCATATTAAATTATATTTTTATAAATTCAAAAAAATTTTCATAATTAAAAAAAAACTTTTATTTACTTACTATTAATTTCTTGAAAATTTCTTTTTATAAAAATTTTCCTGAAAAAAATAATCTCTATTTTTTTTATTATATGTTAATTTATGCTATAAGCTTAAGGATATAAAAACTTTAAAAACTATTATTATATTTATATTATTAAGGTCAATTTTGAATAACCATATTTTTATTCTTACACAATACTTATATATTAAAATTATTTAATAATTTTAGTATAATATTACAAATAATACACTTATTTCAAAATATACTTTTATCTATTAAGTCATTATTATATTATCTAGATTTGTAGTTGATAATAAAAAAAATAGTTTTGAGAATAATTTCTACACATACTGTAGGTCTTTCAAATAGTCATATAAAAAGACATAAATACTAAAGTAATGAGCAAATGTCAAATGTATTTGTGGTTTCATTTTGTAAATTCTTTAATTTTATACAAAATTTTTTAAAGTTATCCCTTAAATTGTAATGCAGGTAAATTTGCCTGCTTATTTAAAATTTTAATAAGTTTTTAAAAATTTTTAATAAAATTTTAGATATTAATTTTTATAACTTACTTATATTACAAAAAATATAGTTTAAAATATTCTTTATTAACTTTATTAAGTAAAAA